TTCAGCTTCCTAGCTTTTGTGGTTCCCGAGTTGAAAGTTGCGGACAAATTGCTGCGGACACACACAAACACAAACACACACACAGACAACCCCGTAACAATATGCGTTTTGTACTGCTGTTACACAGCACAAAACGCATAAAAAAGTCACAGGCACCACTCCACCAGCTTCGCCGGCTGATCCCTCTGCACAAGCCACCGTCACATGGACAGTTCTACGGACACTGCACCATGCTGCATTTTTGAATGCTTGCAGCAACAGATATTTGAGAAAGGCTAGCCAGATCTGGGAACTGTTCTGGCAACTGCATACTGTCATAAATTATTGAACGTGGGCTAGGAATTGGTGCAATCGTGCCCTCTGCATCACAGATGGAAGGCAGTGACCGACGCCCTCGCAGGCAGCAGCAGCAGCAGCAGCCTCACCACAACACACTGCCCGGGCATTTCAGCGAGCGAACGTAAGCAGTATTCCAGCACAACGCAGTGACGCTTCACTGCCAACGAGAAATGCGCTGCTTCTGAGTCTCGCGCACTGCAACGACCTATGGGCAGCAGCAGCAGCACCAGCAAGGGTAAACTAATCTCATCGTCTTTCACACTCTTCTGAACCTGCATCGAAGCGGGAGCAAATGGAGCGAGGAACGGGGGACCAGGCGAATGGATCGGTTGAGAGGGACGGAAGCGCGCGATGGGAACAGAGTGGAACCTGCGTGAATGGAACAACGAACTGTACCTACAACGCAGCGGGACAAAACATCGCATAGCAGTGCCGTACTCCTGGGCCCTGGACACTAGTGGCTACATAGGCGGTTTAGGACAGTCGACTGGGCCTGATTGCGCTTGCTCAGTGGCGGGCGAGAGGGAGGGGTGCGAAGGCCAGGGATGCTGGCTTAGGTCATAGGGAACCGGGACAGAGGGAAGGGATAGGACGGGAAAGGGGCTGAAATCCTGCGTGAAGGTAGGAATTGGAGAAAAGGGCACAGTTGTACAGGTTTATAACGCTAAGTAAGAAATAATTTCTGAGTGAAAGTTATTAGGCTTGTGCATGCCAGCTTTCCTTCAGTGTCTAATTTCTTGCACAATATCACAAGACCATAATCGTAGGAACTGAGATTCAACTAACTGATGAAAAAAACAACGATTCTGCTGATAGCAAAGCCAGAATGCAATGGCTGAAGCACGAACGATGAGCATGCAACAACGAAAATAAATAGCGGTGCGCACCAGCGTAGTCGGTGCGATCACGCGTTTTGCGCAGTTCTATCCAGCGGACGTTTGCCACTAAAAATATAACTGTTTTACACTTTTCTGTGTGAAGAAATAGTTGATATGCTGTCTGGCTCCTAAGATGAGGAATTTCCCACTGAAAATTTCACGTGTCGGTAGATGAAAGCAGAATTTGAAATCACTGGCGACGCTCACCGGGCGGGCCGGTGCGACCATGCGTTTTTGCAGTATTTCGTGCTGCAATGAGATCGCTCGGAAATTTAGTAGCTAGGATTTGTGACATATTGGTCCTCGAAGTTCGGGAAGTTGTCTACACGGTACTTGGACAGGGAACATTCCGTTAAAATTTCAGCTTTCCAATTTCTCTAGTTTTTGAGTTAGCAATTTTCCCGCCAAAAAATTTCACGGGTCCGTACATGAGAACCACACATATCTGGAAACTGAATTTAATATCTTTAACTTTTACGTGGACTGGAAACATTCCATTAAAACTTCAGCCCCCCAGCTTTCCTATTTCCCGAGTTAGCCATTTTTCCGCCAAAAAATTTTGCTGTGCCGCACGTGAGAACCACGCATGCCTGGAGGCTGAATCTGATAAATTTTTGTTATATACGTGCTGGGAACATTCCTGAAAATTTTATCCTCCCAGCTTTCCCGGTTCCCGAATTAGCCATTTTCCCGCCAAAAATTTCCATGGGACCGTACATGAGAACCACGCACACCGAGGGGCTGAATTCGATAACTTTGGGTTGTAAATGTGCTGGGAATATTCCATGAAAATTTCAGCCTCCCCGCTTCCTTAGTTCCGAAGTTAGCGATTTTCGCGCTAGAAACGCTTACGATGCCATATGCGTGTACCGCGCACACCTGGGCCTGAATTTGAAGTCTTTGAGTACCATGTGGACGGGGAAAATAACTTCAAAATTTCAACCTTATAGCTTTTCTGGTTCCTGAGTTAGCGATTTCCCCTTCATAACTTCCACACCCTCGTACGCGGAGCCCAGACTTGCATGAGGGCTGGTACCGCGGTTCTGGAGTGGTACTTGAAACTTTGCCCCTCTCGTACGCGGGGCCCAGACGTGCGCAAGGGATGGTACCGCGGTTCTGGAGTGGTACTTGGCGGTACCCATTAGCAAAATCTCGGCGCTGAAACTTGCTTGGTTGTCGAGTTGAAATACCCGGACAGATGAACACACATACAAAAAAATATACACACAGACAGGGCCGTCGCAATATGCGTTTTTGCAATTTGCATAATAAGCAAAACGCATAAAAAGAAAAAGAGCTCTAATTTATAGTACAGTTTTCGTGGATAATTTTTTGGTTTCTGTTTTGTTGCATGTTGTTTTATATGCTGTTTCACTGGCCTTTGCAGTGTGGGATCATAAAGTGATTGCTGACTTGGGAACGTGTGTTTGATGGATGAGATTTTGCAATACAAATGAGGAGGCGAAGATTACGGGGAAACGAGCTGGAACTATCATTACATTACCTGCAAACTTCCTCATTTCACTATTGCGTACTGGACCGTGCAATCATTATGTGGTTCAGCAGTACATGATAACCCAGGCTGGAACGCATCAGGCGAGCCGATGCGATCATGCGTTTTTGTACCAAACTTGAAGTAATTAGGTCAACTGCATGAACGGTTGTTTATTTACACCCACCTTGTGCGCTCAATACTATAAATCATCGTAAATTTTGCATAAAAGGAAATAAACAATTTCCGTATAGCGGTTGCTTTTATGGTTTTTGTCCATATGCAAATTGCAACCCAGACTGGAACACACCAGGCGGGCCGGTGCGATTATGCGTTTTTGCACTTTTCGTGCCATAGCAAGATCGCAAGGAATCAAAGTAGCTAACCCTGTGAAATACTGGCCCTCGAAGTTCGGGAAGTCGACTGTGCAACTATGTGGTATGTTAGTTGTAGGTGCCGACTTCAGTGAT